AGTTTCTTTCCACTGTTCCATGTCTAACACACTATCTGACGGAGCTCTGATGTCCTGTTAGTTGACAGGAGCGCAATAACCAAAGCCGTCGACCGCAATATAAAATAATACAGTATATGCGCAATATAATAATTGATATTGTTTTGATCTCACACGTGGAGATATTAAATGGCAGTGGTGGTAGGTGGTATCTTCCTTTGTAGTGGGAGTAAGTGCACTACTGAACCATGTGCAAAAATATTCATTTTCATATTTTTTAAAAGAGAATTTTGTAATTGTTCATGATTCCTATCAGTCAAAGTTAAAACTTGACTGATAACCTAATGAATACAATGATGTATTTTCCTTTAAGTGTAAATAATCCATTATCAAATATCAGATAGGTTTAAGAAAGGGAAAGTGCCCTCCGGCCTGTTTTTGTAGGACAGAGTCATGCATCTATGCCAGCACTATTAACATATCATACTTGTTATGTAATTGTTATGTATGTCTACCAGCTCAAAAAACAGCGGCACCCAGCAGCAACCGACGGTTTTTTTCCAAAACTAAACAAAAACAAACTTGTTTTGAGCTGTTTAGACGGCTTTTAAAGCTCAGCAAATGCATTCTAAGCGCGGTGCAATAAAATTTTTATCTGTTCGGTTGCCCTAGGAGATACTTTAATTCTTTCGAATTTATTAGCGCTCTTCGCACCTTAATTGCTTTTACCGAAATTTTTGATGCTATAATTTAATAAAGGCTTACGAAAAAGAGGCATTTTCTGATACCTTTCCATCTCTACCTTTTAAACTAAAACTACCTCAGGGGTCTTTTGCTATGAATAATAGCCAAGGTCAGGGAATTTCTGACAGCTATGTAGAAATGAGACAGTGTGAAAAACTTAACTTTCGAAAATCGAAGGAAAAGAAATACGAAAACAGTGCTCCGAAAATCTTAGATATATGAATCAAGTCCCTAGACATTTTAAGCCTTAATTTCCCAAGCTATTACAACCTCTGTTCCATGGAAACTACAGATGCCTCCGCAAAAATGTCCAAGACTGCCAAACACAAAATGAAGCAATTTGAATTGGTATGCACGGATATATCATATCATTAAGCCACTTTCATCGCAGCGCTGATGGGCCCGCGTCCGATCGAGAGTTATCATGATGAACAAGTTTCTTTTCATTGCTCGAATTACATAGTTGCACTTTCTCACGACTGATCACTCAGGACGAAAAATGTACTTTATATCCGAAGCAAACTGCACCAGACATGCTAATAGAAATACCAATTCAAGTGCTTTTAGTCTCCCGACAGGTTGTTTTGTCTGCTCACGTGGAATAATAGGTTTAGTTCGTCGTGCGAAATTAAACAGAAGCACGAAAGCACGTGTATATAATACAATCAAAGATCGTAAGTGGTTTGAATTTGTGTAAACATCGCTGCTTCCTTCCCTAAAGGATGGAAAATTAATAAAATCACTAAAAATATGATAAAAATATACTTTTTCCTGTGATGGAGTCACGTAGCCTGTTCCGGGCTCCAAGACAGTAGTGCAGTCGTGAAGAAAATTATATGAAAAACGCGCGGGGGCTGACGACCGCTTCCTTCTTCAGATCGCGTGCGTCATATTTCCACCGGGCTTGCTTATTTTCCCGATGTAAAGCAAGGGCGGCTCCATAATCATCTAGCCTAACCCTAGCCCCCTTGTTAAGCGATCATTCTGTATTCCTGGAATACAGGAATATTTTTAACATATTTTTTTTTATTACTAGATACGTGTATCACAGAACTTCGCAAAGGCCAGATTTTGTGAAGGGCCAGTAGTACGAACAAAAGGATAAGAAGCCAAAGAGAAAAAAGAAAAGAAAAAGGAAAAAAAAAAAGAGAAAAGAAAACAAAAGAACCCAAAAAGACAACAAAGAAACGAAATCCCTTGGTTAAGAGGAAAAATTCTTCTACCACAAGCTGCGTAAGATATAATAGGCCGATAGTCAAAATAAATTTTCCATGGGAACTCCTAACAGAAAACGCTGGTCGATCCGAATTTAGCTTAAATTCAGAGATGTCTTTGAGAAAAATAAGCAGGGTTCTGGCCCCAGTTTTCAAAAGTTGGATAGCGCTATCTTGGATAGCGCTATCAACCGGCCGGATAAATCACTATCCAACGGATAAGTGTCAGGGGCACCAATTGCACTATCCAGTGGATAGTGATTTATCCGGTGGATAATGTTATCCACTTTTTGAACGACTGGGGCCTGATGGTTATTATTTTAATAATAAACATCACTCCAGCTTTTAAAAAAGCTGAACTTAAGGCATTTTTCAGCGCTAGCGCATTTATGGACAACATATGATGCCCGACAGAGCCGATAAAACTAGTCTGCGAAGCGTAAGATGCAAAATCAATCATCTCTTACCTAACTTTTAGCTCTTTTTTTGAAAGTTAGTGGACCACATCTCTTTCAATATCTCTCTAGAGTATTTATGTTGTCAAAATTCAACGCGAAAAACATTTTCTAACAGCCAAAACGGCCGCAAAAGCAAACCCACTAAGTTTATTTTGTTGCGGTTTTTTTTTGCTAAGCCACGGTGGACACCAACCAAACTGCTGATAGAAATATAGCGAAAAGCTGTCCACTTCTCGCTCAGCGATTAGGCTTTTATTGTGCTAGCATAATTTGAGAAAACTAGCACAATTTTTACCATTTTTTAAAAGGCAGCACTGCTAGCATAATTCGCATATTTTGATAATTATTGGAACATTTTTGGGTTTTGACAGGCGAGTATGATTCCCAAATCCCAATAATTTATACGCTGACGTTGTTCGATGTTTTAGCGGTATTTGCAGTTTACCGAGTCCGGAATTGGGGACCTAGGACTAGGGTGTAAGGGAACCGGAAGTCTCATGGCAAACTATGTTGGTCCCAATACCTCTCATAAGCAAGGCTACAAAATGGCGTCATGCAGCTATGCCAGCCGATTCGAGCGAAAACTTACAGCTCTCTTAGAGAAATGACGGGCCAGAACCACCCACAATTGCCAGAGACCGTTCCCTACAGTCAACAAAGGGAATGTGCAGTGGGAGAGGAACATGTGACACGACGAAAGTTCCGTTACACGATCGATCGCATTAACCAGTTCCCAAGTCAGCTAACAAGAATAAACGGCTTCTGATTAAAGCGGGAAATGTATTTGTTTGACTTATTTGCCATGGTTTTTGAAGAGCACAATTGAAAAGAAAGATAACATAATTTGGAAAAACGAGCATAATTTTAGCATAATTTGGTCAAAAAAAGAGCAGTGCTACTGGCATGTAGTGCTGCTTTTACTAGCACAATCTGTAACAGCCTATCAGCGATCCACACACGATCCACGCACGAAGTAAATTTCGACAAATTCATAAACATTTTTCCGCGAGCAACCGTATATTTTTCCGTTTTTTATTCGGTACTGATCTTTCCACTGAATGTATTGTAAAGAAACGAAACGCGCGAAAGGCAAAGAGAAAAAGAGGAAACGCGATTTTCACGAGTACTGCCGGCTTTTATGAGCAGAATTTATTCAAGCCTAACATTCAGGCATTTCGGTCAAATCGAAGAAGGCGGGAAATCTTGCGATGAAAAAAAGTAAAGAAAAGAAATCTCAAAAAAGGGTAATAACAGGAGACCAAAGGCTCCTGGTAAAAACAGGAACCCATCACTAGGCTCCTGGTAATAAGTAATATAAAAAATGAGTGCAAATAAAAAAATCGCCGAAATTTTTGAAACCTCAATATTTTACCCTCGACTCTCCACATTTTACCCGAGTCGACGCTCGACAAAAACCTACACTCAATGTATTGACAGCTTGGACTACGTAAAATGTCTTAATCCAATTCCATATTGCTGATTAATTAACTGGACCTAGGAGCATTAAGACTTTTCTTCGGTTGAATACTGAGAACGCGAATAAGCGGCGTGATAATTTTTTTTAATGTTTTACACAGAGGATCTAAATATTTTGACGAATTCTCTTTTAATGTCCCGTTTGATAAAAGCGTAAGGAAATGGGTTAGCCGCTGAATTAGCTATCAGCATCAGTTTTCTAACATAATGAAATTCTACGGTTAAGTCACAGACGTCAAAATAAAAGCATATTGAACCAGCAACATCCATAACATAGAAGATAATAAATATTCCAACAACAACTATAATGACAGTTGCAGAAAACTGCGCTTTGCTTTCCCTGAAACGTGGCTGGTTATAACGCAACTGCGCGTTGAATGCAGCGGTTTGCCGCCAGAGCCGTCTGGATATCACTAAGATTCTTCCTGTGACGCATATAAGAAACAGGCAAGGAATTATTTCAAACAGAATGCCATAGATGACTTGGAAGAGAAGTTGAGTGCTTTTGCTTGCACCAGCAAAGTGCATGTAAAGGCTTGGAGGTAGATATAGGAGAAGGGGCAGAACCCAAGCGCTAACAATGACAAACAGGAAGGTTCTTGAAATCATAAATTGAACGTATTTGAACGGTCTTACAATTGCAACATAGCGGTCTGTAGCCATTCCACAAAGATTTGAGATTGAAATTATGGCAAATTGCCACGATAAAATCCCACGTAGGCTATCATAACAAACAAACATTGTGTCGCAGAAATACGCGAATGGAAAGAAAAAAACCGCGAACAGAAAATCAGCCCCTGCGAGGGACAGGACGAAGTAATTTGCTGTTGTCTGAAGTCGTTTTGTAATCACAATGAGAAAAATAACCAAAAAATTTCCAGTAATTGCTGTAGCAGTTAGAATCCAGCCGATAGCCAAATAAATAACGCCCATCTTCACCAAGCTTCTATTCCGCGGTACTGTCTTCTCTGGTTCACTGACGGTTAGGCTGTGTCAGATAAATTACAAGGATCCTCCTGGGAAATGATGAGCTTCGTCCAACAGTCTTCAACACTTTTATGAGGTCAGAAATAATCTTAATGCAGAATTTTGGTTTCCCCGCCAGGGTGTATTCCATCAAAGTAATAAT